CATATTCGGCGTAGTACACTGTTGTCGGGGGAAAAAAAATCAATTTTTCGTTTAAAAAAATTTAAGAAAATATGCATATAGTCATATTCAAATATAGTCATATTCGGCGTAGTAAACTTGTGGGGAAAAAAAATCAATTTTTCGTTTATAAGAATTTAAGAAAATATTAAAAAAAATATGAAAAATAAAAAATAATTAAAAAAAAAAAAAAAACTTCATCTGCACGTGGGTTTTGATTTTGTATGTGAAGAAGCAATTTTTTTTTATTTGTTGGCTTACTTTATGGAGCATATTAAGTTGATTTTTTATATTAGTTGGCTGATTTTAAGGAATTGAAATATTGAGTTGGAAAAAGATTGCTATTATTTTGGCATTATTTAAGGAAAGTGACGTGGATTATTGGGGTGGATTATTGGGTAGGAGATTTTCTAATTTCAGAAGGGTAGTATTGGAATTAATATTTATAGGGGTTTATCACAAAGAAAGATTTAAGGGTTGGACATATCACCATTTATTACTCATCCAAGGGGTTTATTGCTAAAGACCCCTAAATTTTAATCACAAGTGAGTTGTCTACAAATAGGTGGAATATCTGATATGATAATATAGTAAGCAATTAAGTAATTACCCTTGACTTTAAACAAAATTACATAATAAAAAACCGACTTACCTAAATAGAAAGTATAAAAAAATTAATTACTTCAGCAAAAAGATTTAATAAATTACCATAATTATATTCATAAACGTGTATTATCTTATTATTTGAATTAAAAGGCGAAATCTTGGTAACTCAACAGCTCGTTAGGATAGCGAACTCGGATCTGCTGCCTACAAGGAACCGACCCTCACTCAACGGCTCGTTAGGACAGCAGAGTCGGACCTGATGCCTACAAGGAACCAACCCTCATTGGAGTTAAACTTCTCACACTGGGGCTGCCAGGATTGGATCCTAGGTGCCTGCTCCAACTTACCATTCCGCAATCAGTTGAGTTATACTCATACAGGCAAAATAAAGAGTACTTACCTATCTTCTTAAACGTGTACTTACCTTATTATTATCTCTCTTAAATGTGGGAATGAAGTCAGACTTAAAGCCCTAATTCCCTATATAAACCACCAGATCGAAAGTTCACAAAGCAGATTTCGAGAGCAAGAAGCCCTAGGTTATGAGTAGAAGTAGAATTTATTTACGGTTGATGACGTCGGTAATTGAAGTTTCTTGCACATACATCTGTTTTCTTAATTGAATGTTTTATCTACGTTAAAATAAACATATTCTTTATTTAATTTAATATTATATGGATAATAAAATGATCTTTTTAGCATTGGTCTATTTGATTATTTTCTCCCTTGAGTTGTTGCCAGATTGTATTAGGTATCACTGATTCATTATTTCCATGTTACCTTTCTTATTTTGGGATTTGACCGGTTGAATTCTGAAAATATATTTTGGCCATCCCACTCTATTTATGTGTATACGTCGCGTATTCATATTCGTATCATGCGGTGGCGAAGCCAGGATTATATTATTGGGGGGCGAATATATATTACAAAATAACGTTAAAAAAAATATTGTTCGAACACTAATGAATTTAAGCTATTGCTAAAAAAGAGATTTTTTTTTACAAAACTAGAAGATAGGAAAAGAAAAAAATAATACTTTTTTCATTTTTTTGAATTTTAGATGCACTAATTAAGAAAAACTAAGTGGACTTAATACTATAAAGGCGTAATAAATTGGAGATTTTTATAAGAGGGGGTGTGGTTGCCAATTTATCGTAGTATGGGATATACATAATCATTGTCGTGAATCGTAAAACCTATGGTCCACGGGTGTGAACCATAAACCTTTCACGGGTCTGAATTGGCCGGCGATTCACAATTAACAATTCAAAAACCTTTGATTGTTGTTTTGGAAGGTTGAAAGATCATCATCATCATTGTGTTTTAATTCTAGTATTAAAAATCAGTATCAAATATTTGCTTCTTGATATTTTTTCCTGTTTTTTATGGTTATTTCTCAACCTGATGTTGTGCTCAATTTATGTTCATCATAAAATTCCCTGCCCTTTATGCATACATACAGGGTTATGATATTTTCATTGGATTACGACAATGCCTGACAGAGAAACAATTACGGAAAATACATCATTAAACCTCAAACTGAAGTTGATCTCGTTGAGGAAAAGGTTGCTTTAAAATCCCTTACTATGAAATAATTGTTTTATTGAGGGATTTCGGACACCAAATCAGCCCATGAACATGGCCCAAGTAGGCCCACTTGTGGAGGAGGTTTTTAGAGACTTCTACAGACGTGGCCCATGAACTTTAGTGTCTGCACGTAATGTTGAGTTATAATATATTTTTATTTATTAAATATTATATGGCTTATGCTTTCATGATTAATTTAATAACCTCACGCACCAAGAAACTCCAAAGGAAGTGTGTTGAGGTCTGGTCGATCTTTTGGCAAAGATTCTCGAACAAATCATTGGTTGGGCATCATTGATTGCCTCAACTCCCTACTTACTACACTTACTGATAATTTTGTGTGTGATGGATATATTTATGCTCCATTTAATGATATACAAGTGATGTATTCTTTCAAATTTATAACCATGTTTTTTTTCTATGGTCATTTCAGGTTCCTCCATTTCTTGTTCAGAAGATATTTACTCCAACATTTTGGGGCAACTTTTTAGATGGCGATTGGGATGTCTTGAACCTCGAACAAAATCTTTGTTTATTTATTTTACTAATTTTCCCCAAACATATGACTTTCAGTCTTCTTCTATCCAGGGAGTGTTGTACTTTGAGCTACGGCGAGTAAGTCAAATCTGGACTGGCTGAGCTAGATTCGGTGCTGTCAAGCAAAAGAAGAGGTAAATAACTGTGTATCATCATATTAAGAACACATTTTATTTCGTGATGATTATGTTTTTTTAATTATCCAATATTTTCTTGCATTGACCAAATATTCTTGGCATCTCAGTATTCAGGCCTGGGAGGGCTCGAAGAGAGTGGGGAAGACGATGAATCATATAGTAGGAACAAAGTCAATCGACTGGTCCAGGACAAAGAACATATGTGTGTGCGCGCTTGCTCGCGCATATGTCTGTGCATATGATTCTTGATTTTTGGTAGAGCTGATGGAGTGTGCATTGTGTAACCGTCCCATATCTTGGCGTGGCGAACCCAGATGGCTGTGATTTTGGGGTATTTTATATTTCCCCAATCGCATGCAATCGGTGATTCTACAGTCATGGGCGTGGTCGAATGTCTATTTGCCAGCTTGAACAACAGATCTAAGCCTCATTTCCTCTAATTCTCTATATCTTATTTGCTAGGGTTTGCCTTTGCTGATGAGAAACGTCGACCGCAATACTTCTAGAATACTCCAGATTGCTCATGGTCCAAGTATCCACTTCACCTTATTTTGTTGAATAATTAATTTACATTTTCATTATTATTTTCTTCAATGTTTCATTGTTATTTCGTGTAGATTCATTTGGTTCAATGCAGGTGGCAAAGTTGAAACTGGGGAAATGCAGATCATATAAGAGCTGATGTCGTGAGTTTCCTTACTAGTTGTTCTAACTTCTTCAATTCCGGTGCTTGGTTTACAAACAATAAATTTGGATTTGCTTGGGTACAAGTCCTAAGCTTTTGTCTATAGAAAGGGAAACAAAAAGATTTTACCTTGATCTAATCATACAAAGTGAGGGATAGGTGAGGGAGGGGAGATGTGAGAAAATATTAATGTGTTAGCACAATTCAAAGAATTAGCAATATTTTCTAGCTACAAATATATAATGATATCAGACATCATCCTCAACTTCAATGGGCTTTTTTAGAATCAATTAACAAAGATAAATGATCAATGGTGTCTGTGGTTGAGAGTTCAGACACCATTGATAATGTTATGATTCAGGATAAGCATTCCACCGGACCAACAAATGTTGATCTTCGCTGGGAAACAGTTTGAGGATAGTAGGACTCTTGCTGATTACGACATACAGAAGGAGTCCACTCTTCATCTTGTCCTATGTATGCGCAATAGCTTCTAATTATCTGCTCCTATCTATCCTTGGATTGACTGCTGAGTTTACTTGTTATCTCATAGAAGTTGTATTATGATACAAGATGCCTTGTGTTCTTACTTCATGAAATTGTTTAGATGGTTTAATGTATAACGAAGTATTGCAAACTGCAGTTTTGGAGAGGAGAATCAATGGAAGTGCAAACAAGATTTTGCAGACTTTGTTAGGGTATTGGATCCGATAGACGGCACAAAACTTTTATTATTGGTAATATGTCTATGCTTTTTTTCGCTCTATTATCAAATATGAAGCTTTGTCTAATACCTAACTGATTGTATTACAAATTTATTGGTAGGGAAACCCTTGTTTGGAACACTAATTGCTTTACCCCACAAGGGTAAACAGGTAAGGGTTCCAGCCAATTCAAGAAGGCTATGAAGAAAATCTGGATGGATGTCTGTAATTTTTTTTTACCTTTTTGGACTCACTCTGAGATGCAGTTCAATTACTTTCTCTGTTTTTTGTTTGACCAGGTTCTTGGAATTATTGGTAAGAAAAACCTACCTCGAGTTGACAGGATATATATCACATTATTGTTCACAACTCTTGAAAGCCTACATGTATGTTCGTCACTTTTTAACAAATATTTTATTATTCCGAAATTATTCATAATAAGTTGATATAGATCACGTTATGCCCAGAATTTGAATATGAGGTTTTTTTCTCTTCATCTTTTTTGCCTTATTTTTTGAGCGGTGTTGCAGTTTTGGGGTCTCTTCGAGTACACTACTGGCCCACATTTATTTAGCGGGGATGCTGAGGTGGCGTTTGCTCGAGTAAGAAATAAGTTATGTGATGCGATCCCAATCACATCAAGCTATCAAAGATTTCCAATGTTTCCAGAATATTAATTACATTGTGGGCTGAAACTTTTCAAGAAGCATGAACTGGGCTAATTCAACAAACGGGTGAGATGTCAAACGTTCGGGAAGCCCAGCTTGAGTCTAAATACAACTGACAAGCCCATTCATATTTATAATAAGAGCAAATCAAATTAGGGAGGTTTTAATGACAATGATATCGACCTTCAGATGCTCTCTATGAAGCATTCACATGTCTGAAGATTGATGTGATTAGCAGATTTGGTGCTTATTTGACTAGCAAAGTAATTACTGATTCGTTT